GGGGGGATGGCCACGCCGCAATCCCTTCTCCTCCATTCTCCTCTCGGGATCTTGGGCACGCACGCACACGCGCCCGGCGTGAGTTTAAGCCACCGGGTCCGGGACTCGAACCGCGGTCGACTACGTGGGAGTCCAGCGACATAGCCATTACGCTAACTGCTGGTCCCTAAAATAAAATAATTCTTAAAAACACACACACACACACACACCCAAAACTCATGCCGGCCATGCCCACCCAGGGGCATCTCCCACAAAACAAAACAAAACAAAAGCGCAGGGGTGTGGGGGGGAACGACACCCCACACACGTAGCCAGCCGACTGGGGTTCGAGTCCCGGACCCATCATCTTAAAATTCACGAGGAATGTGGTAGGCAGTTAGTCAGTTGTGAGCAGGCAGCCCTAAGAGAAAAGCAAAAGGCTCATCTAGCTCTGGGTGCCAGGAGGGCGAGGCAATTTGCCATCTTCCTTCCTTGAGGCCTGAGGGAAGCGCACAGGGATGATTGGTAGATTTTTCTCTTATCCAAAAGACCTAAGCAAGCCTCTTTGGTCAATGCCCCAATTCCTATTAGGGCGATGGACTAACTGGGCAGTCTAATTGGGGCAACCTGGCTCACACTGGGCGTGCACAATTAGGTGATCAAGTTCCTCATTCTTTACCTGCGAGGAAGGTGCAAGGTGCGCAGGTGCAGGAAAACGTGAGGATTCAAATTTAAAGGAAGGACATAGGCAGCGTAAGGGCCGCCCACTAATGAATATTCATGACCTCTAGTAATCAAAATAACCGTTAACTAGTACTGGCAATCTGCCCACCCAACAACCTTTTTGGGTGTACTTTCTTCCCTTTCCTATTAAATTTTCTTTTCTACCTACTTCATTCGTGGTTGCAGTTTCATCTTGCGCCTAGGGACGGATCTCTAATTTTAGTGATCTGGACCCAAAGAACCAAGGACAGACATCACAACCATCCGTTAACAGGAACACGTGTGGTATACGTCCAAGATTTCCAGAGAATATTGGAGAAGGAATTGTGGCGAGGCCATCCCCCCTGCGAGGGGCGTTCTCTCGCTTTCAGTCTCAGCCTGGTGAGCGCACGCGCACTACAAAAATCTCTCTTTAAACAAACAAACAAACGTCCAGCAGGTGGCATGGTGGTTAAAGGCGTTGGACTCCCACATGGTCATCCCTAGTTCAAGTCCTGAACCTGCTGGCTTTCTTTCTCACTTTCTCTCTCATCAACAAACTGGAAAACAATAATAAAGCTAAAATAAAATAATCCTTTCAAACAAACAAGCAAGCAAGGGGCCGCCAGGTGGCCTGGTGGTTAAGGGCGCTGGATTCCCACATGGCCAACCATGGTTCAAGTCCTGGACCTGGTGGCTTCCTTTCTCACTTTCGCTCTCATCAACAAACTGGAAAATAACAATAAAGCTAAAATAAAATAATCCTTTCAAACAAACAAACAAACAAACAAACAAAACCGCTGCAGGTCTGGCTCCCACGAAGCCCGCCCCACAGGGGAGGAAACGGGGGCTCAGGGCAGGCATCCCCCCGAGTCCAGCCCTCGCCCTCTCCGCTCACCTTCTTGAGCTTTTGCTGCTGCACGATACGCGCTTTCTTGGGGGCGATAACACGACCTGGGGAAGAGACGCGCTCGCGTGAAGCCGGGGAGCCCCGAACCCACTTCGCCCCCCAGCTCCGGCCCGCTCCTCACCTCCTTTCCTTGGACCCCGATTCCGCTCCGACGCCGCCGCGGCAGCTTTGCTCTTCGCCGGCTTTTGCGCCTGGAATTTACGCTGTCCCTGCGCCATGATGGGAAACGCGCCGGAAGAGGCGGGGCTGTGAGTAGACGCGGCCGGAAGACGCGGTGCACCATGGGATACAAGGAGGCGGGCAAGCGCAAAGGCTCACGGGATACAGAGTGGCACCGAGTTTAGACCAGCCCCCCGGAAGGAGGCGCTCACAGCAGGCGTTCCACAAATACTTTAAAGACAAGGTATTATTTATCGGACGCTTATGTGTTTTATAAGACGAATACTGTTTATGTTCCTTATATGTAAACAGGGCGAGGCCAATGAGGTCCTCAAATCTGGTACGAATTTTTTTTTTTTTTTTGAGAGGTTTTTGCTATAGGGCGCATGCGCTCACCAGACCGACAGAGAGAGACAGAGAGACAGAAAGCGAGAAATCACCCCCCAGGGGGGATGGCCACGCCGCAATCCCTTCTCCTCCATTCTCCTCTCGGGATCTTGGGCACCACGCACACATACCTGGTATGGGTTTTAAGCTACCAGGTCCAGGGTGCGAACCTAGCCTCCATTCGTGGGAGTCCAGCGACGTAACCATTATGCCATGTGCTAGACCCTGTCATTAAAGTTTTCTTGAACCAGGACCCAGTATCAGGTAGGCGGCAAGAAGTTTAAGTACAGGCAAGTTTTCTCTATAATCATATTTGTATAGTTCATCATTCAATTTTTGCATTAATTTTGACTTTAAGAACATCTTACAAAGTATCTCGATGACTGTACTTTTTGTAAATTTTCACGTAAGGTGAAGATTTTGGCCTGAATAGCAAACTCATGTAGAAATATGAGTATTGTTCACATTGTGAAAATGAGGAAACTAAGACCAGCAGTTAGCGTAATGGCTATGTCACTGGACTCCCATGTAGTCGACCGCAGTTCGAGTCCTGGACCCGGTGGGTTAAACTCACACCAGGTGCGTGTGCGTGCGTGTCCAAGATCCTGAGAGGAGAATGGAGAAGGGATTGTGGCATGGCCATGCCCCTGGGGGTGATTTCTCGCTTTCTGTTTCTGTCTCTCTGTCTGTCTGGTGAGCGCACGGGCCCTATAGCAAAAACCTCTCAAAAAAAAAAAAATAAATAAAAAAGATGAAAAAATAAGGAAATCAAGGCAGAGGGGTGACTCAACTGGCCCAAGAACACAAAGCATTAGAAGTAGTGGCGCTGACGACCAGCAGGTGGCGCTGGAGGACAAGGAGGCTGGATCCCATAGAGCCAACCCTGGGGTGGGGTACTGAATCCTGACCCTTGGAAAGAAACATGCCAGGCTTATAAGCATGTGTGCCCAAAATCCCCAGAGGAAAATGAAGAGGAGAAGGAATTGCCGTGTGGGTATCCCTCCTGGGAGGGGGAATGATTTCTTGCTTCCCCCACTCCACAGGTGCATTGTAGCAACATTAAAAAGAAAAAAAAAAAAAAGGGCACAGGTGGGATTTGAACTTGAGCTGCCTGGTTCCAGTTGCTGGGCCCTTAAGAGCCATGCAAAGCCTCTCTCCTTCCTCTTGCAAGTGTGGCCGGGGCAGGAAGGTCAGCGTGGTCGGGGAGACCATTTAAGAACTTTATTAGAAAATTCGGATCATGGGGCAGGGTTGGGAGGGCCAGGCTGGCTACACCCAGGGTCCATCCAGGGTCCCTCATCCTGAGGGGACAGTGGCACTGAGGGCTGCTTGGAGCTCACTGGGGGCAAACACGCCCAGCTCGGTGATGATGCCCCCGGTGATGAGGTCGTGGGGGGTCACATCGAAGGCAGGATTCCAGACGCCGATCCCTGTGGGGAGACAGAAGGCATGTTGGCTCTGAAAAGCACTTCGCTGGGCCCCTGGTACCACAGTGGTGAACAGACCTGGACCCCCGCGGGGAAGTTCCGGGTTTGCACACGGCAGACATGGTGTGCCCGTGACCTAAGCTGGTAAGGCTGGGAGTGGATCCTGGCATGAAGACCCCTTTGGGGGTGCTTTTCTCTTTTTCTCTCTCATGGAAAAAAAATAGACTTAGGGGAAAAAGAAATGATGGGGCCGGCAGGTGGCGTGGTAGATAAAGTGTTGAACTTCCACATGGCTAACTGTGGTTCGAGTCCCAGACCTGGTAGTTTGTTGTTTCATTTTCCTTTTCTTCTTTTCTTTCTTCCTTTTTTTAAAGAATAATTTATTTTATGTATTCATTCATTTTATTTTAATTTGACCAGAGTGAGACACAGAGAGAGAGAGAGAGAGAGGGAAAGTGAGAAAGCAAGCCACCAGCTGTGGGACTTGAACCGTGGTTGGCCACATGCGAGTGTCCAGCACCCAAACCACCATGCCACCTGCTGGTCTCCACACTTTCCCTTTTTCTCTTTCTCTCTGGTCAAATTAAAGAAAATAGTAATAAATTTAAAAAATTCTTAAAAAAAAAAAAAATAAGAGAAGAATGTCAGAATTTACTCAGGGCCTCTGCGTGGGCAGTTCCCTAGGCCTCAATGCCCTTCCCCAGATGGCCCGTGTCCGGCTGTTTCATTCCCTCTGGGCCTTCGTCCTCCCCCGCGGGGACAGCTTACCGGGGGCCGCGATCCTGACCCCGTTCACGTCGGTCAGCTCCTGGCCCGGCCGCTCCTCAATGACGATCTCCCGGCCCGTCTGCAGACGGAGGTCGCAGGACGAGCTGGGGGCGGCCACGTAGAAGGGGACGCCGTGGTACCAGGCCGCGATGGCCAGCTGGTAGGTGCCCACCTTGTTAGCCGTGTCGCCGTTGGCCACCACGCGGTCCGCTCCCACGACCACCGCTGTGGGAGGAGAGACGCCGTGGTCAGACCTGACCCTGGGCGCCCCAGGCCCGCCCGCCCGTCCCCGGCACACTGACCTGACACACCCCGGTGGGC